AGGGGGCTGGGGCTGGTGCCTCGGAGCAGCAGCCCCAACAACAGCAGCAGCAAGCGCCGCAGCTGGACCTGCAGCAGTAGCAGCAGTCGTAGCAGCAACGACGGGCTGGCCGTCTCCCGGCCGGGTGGCCTGGCGCAGGTGGTGGAGGTGGTCGCAGTGGTCATGTGTGCAGCATGACATCGGGTGGTGGTCCGACTGACGGGCACTGCCAGTACCAGCTCCAGACCGGTCCTCTCCACGGCCTTGTATGCAGTAAGATCGGCCATACCCCCCTCGTTGTTTCAGTCGCCTAGACGACCTGTTTCGTCTCCGCTTTGGCCTGGCGCCAGACCTCCCCGACTGACACAGTCTGCTCCGCCGTGGTGTTAGGATCTTTGATATGGACATGGATGGGATTAGCTCTGCTTTGTATGTGTTGTATGTCGATGACTCTAGTGTGACTGGTTCCTATTACCCCTTGTTGTCTAGTGTAGGTGTGCCTAGTTCAGGCTCCCCTGCTGCGTTAAGCGTAGGATCCCCTGCTTTGTTTAGCCTTGGCACCACCCTCGCTCCTCCGACCCCTGCCGCCACTGCCGCGCTCTCCTTCACCCTAGACTCAAGCACTTCCCGTGTTTCTTTCAGGACTCCACTACGCTTACGCCGCTTGCCGCTCCCGCCGCGGTTGCCCTTGCAGACCCTTCCTCAGGTCCTTTAATCACACGTAGCTCCACCACCCTTCCCTATCCGGCGGTTCCTTCGGGCTCCCTTACAGGCCTGCACATCCCCTCGTTCTCTAGGAACCTAGTTGGTGTCGGCTGCCTCCAGGACCTTGGCGTCACCACTACGCAATCTGTACCGAGGCCGCCACAGGTGCTCCCCTCACCACGTTCCCCCGAGACCTAGTGTCTGGCCTGTTCACGCTGGACACCACCTCCCCCCAAGTTGGGACGTCTCCCTAGGTGTCTACATCTACCCAGGTTGCTGCGGCTTGCTCGTGTCAGTCGCTTACTCACCCGACGCTTCTGTGGCACCACCGTCTAGATCACCTTGCCCTCCCACGTCTTCAGCATATGTCTCTGCACAGTCTTGTCTTAGGTCTCCTTGATTCGTTCCCCGCGCTACCCTCTTCATCAGCGCCGCCGTGCACGCCGTGCGTCGAGGGCCGGCTCTGCCGTGCCCCTCACTTCTCCTCATTCCCCCCCACCGCCGCACCGCTGCAGACCTTGCACATAGACCTCTGGGGCCCCGCCCCCGTCCATGGACCGCGTCGAGAGCACTACTTCCTAGTGCTTGTCGTCAAATACACGCTCTACACCACAGTATTTCCTGCAGAGCGGAAGGCTGACGTGCTTGACGTTCTTATCCCGTGGCTTGTCTCTGTGCGTGTTCACCGAGGTCTCCCTGTCTTGCGTCTTCACTCCGACCGTGGTGGCGAGTTCGCCTCTGGATGCCTTGGTTGCTTCTGTCGTGCGGAGGGCATCACCAAGACGTACACCCCGTCGGACTCCCCGCAGCAGAATGGGGTCGCTGAGTGACGCATCAGTTTGGTCATGGAGGTGGCTCGTACCTCCATGATCCAAGCCGGTGCACCCCATTTTCTGTGGCCGTTCGCTGTTCGCTACGCCGCTCACCAGCTTAATCTCTGGCCGCACCCTCAGCAGCCGCAGGTTTCGCCGACCCTCCTTTGGACCGGGTCCCCATGTGACGCGTCTGCGTTCCACGTGTGGGGCTGCCTTGCTCACGTTCGTGCCTCTGGTACGGACAAGCTAACTGCCCGCACTGTCCCCTGTGTCTTCCTCGGTTTCCCCCTCGATGCGTCTGACTGGCGCTTTTACCACCCGCCATCTCACCGCTTCTTTCACTTCCGCGACGTCACCTTTGACGAGTCTGTCTCCTTCTACCACCGTTTTCCCCGCCGTGGTCCCCCGGGTACCCCCACCTGTTCCTAATTCCCCCTCCCCCGGTTGCCCCGGCTCCCCCCCCTCCCCTCCCTGCCCCGTCTGGAGTGTCTCACGTCACCCCTCTCCCGTCGGGGTGTCCCTGCCGAGGAGTCTCCTGACTCTCACGGCTCTGCCGAGTCCCTTCTCCCACCCCTCCCCGCCCAGGTCTCTTCTCCCCCGTCGCTGCCGTTGCTGTCCCCGCCACTGCCGTCGCCGTCGCGGCCGCAGCCGCTATCGCCACCGCCGCTGGGGTTCGTGCGTTTTGGAGGTGCTGGGGAGCATGCCGGATTGGGTACTGGAGCGGGTTCCCGTTCTGGGAATGCTGGCGTGGAGCTTCTCGGTGGGAGCCGTGCTGTTGCTGGAGGTTCTGGTGTTGGAGTCGGGCAGCAGTCGCAGCAATCGCCGCTGGTGTTCGCTCTTCGCCTCCTCGGTGTTCCTTCCCCAGACTGCCTGTCGGTGCCTCCTCCGTAGCCGCCTCCTCCTCCTCCGCCGGTCTACGGCCCGGTGTTTCCTCCCCCGGACTCCTCTCCGGCTCGTTTCCCTCCCCGTTCTCCTCCTGTGACTCCTCCCCTCTCTCCTGACCCGACTCCTCCGTCTCACGTCTGGTCTCGTCGTCCGTCTCATGCTCGTCCTACCTCCCCTGTTCCGCGTTCTCACCCTATGTTACTTCGCTCCCACGCATCTCGTGCTCCTCCGCTCCTCCCGTCTCCTCCTCAATCGTCGCTTGCTATGCCCCCCCCACCCCCGTTCTCTGACTTCCTCCGTGCTGCGCGTCCCCTTGTTCCTCGTGTCCTTGCCACTCTTGTTACCAACTCATCCGTTCCTGTCTCGAGTCTGTCGGCTCTTGTCGCTGCTGTCACTTATTTCGCCACTGCCCACCGCCTTGACAACGCCACCACTGTGGTCTCTGATCCTGCCTGCCCTCCATCCGTCGGGGGTGTGGCTGCCCGTGGCAGTGACAGCCTAGATGACAGAAAGTACGAGCTTGCTTTCCTGTCAGAGGCCGCTCCCCATCTCTGTTCCATGCTGCTAGTCCCTGAGGGTAACCCAGACGCCCTTGACATCCCGACCCCTCACACCTACGCTGAGGCCACCTCGAGACCCTGGGCCTCTCAACATGAGATGGCATCTTGGAGTTCCATCGGTACCTTCGTCGATGCAATTCCCCCATCTGGGGTGAACGTAGTCGATGGCTGATGGCTCTTCAAGGTGAAGTGCCCTCCTAAAGAGCTGCCTGTCTTCAAGGCGCGCTACCTTGCTCGAGGCTTCAGTCAGCGTGAGGGGGTGGACTTCTTCCAGACCTTCGCCCCGACCCCGAAGATGACTATTCTTCGAGCACTACTACACGTAGCAGCACACCGTCACTACGAGCTGCACTCCCTCGACTTCTCCACGGCTTTCCTCCAAGGCAGTCTACACGAGCAGGTCTACCTGCGCCGCCCCCAGGGCTTCTCTGGTACCTTACCCCTTGGTACCGAGTGGCTCCTCCGGCGCCTTGTCTACGGCCTGCACCAGGTGCCCTATGAGTCGCACGATACGCTGCGTGCTACACTTGCTGACCTGCAGTTCTTCGCGTCGTCTTCAGACCCCTCGCTCTTCGTCCGTTCCGGTCATGCTCCGTTCTGCATCCTTGTCTACGTAGACGACCTGGTCTTTGCTACTGCAGACTGAGACGCACTGGCCTCCGTGAAGGTCGAGCTGCTGAGGAGACACACCTGCACTGACCTAGGAGAGCTGCACCGCTACGTTGGCTTGCAGATCTCCAGGGATAGAGCACCGCGCACCATCACTCTCTCACAGTCACACTTGGTGCGCCAAGTCCTTCAGATGTTCGGCCTTCAGTTCTCTTCCGCACAGCCCACCCCTCTGCCAATAGACCACAGACTCTCTGCTCAAGTCCCTGAGGAGGCAGTAGAGTTTAGTGGTCCCTACGCAGAGCTGGTAGGTTGCCTCATGTACCAGATGACTTGCACTCGTCCAGATCTCGCATACCCTCTCAGCATCCTAGCTCGCTTTGTGGCCACAGGCAGACACCGAGCATAGGTCGGCAGATAAGAGGGTTTTGCATTATCTAGGAAGTACATCGGGCATGGGGCTAGTGCTAGGAGGATGCAGACCAGTGGTCCTTACTGGGCACACAGACGCTTCCTGGGCAGATGACGTTGAGACTCTCAGGTCCTCCCAGGGCTATTGCTTTTGCCTTGGCTCAGCTGCCATCTCGTGGAGGATTACTCGCTCCTCGTCTGTTGCCCAGTCTAGTTGTGAGGGTGAGATCTACGCCGGTGCCATGGCGGCACAGGAGCTCCGCTGGCTGACCTTCTTGCTCACCGACTTAGGTGAGCGGCTTAGCTATGCCCCGGTCTTGTACGCTGACAACAGGGCCATGATCCTCCAGTGTCAGGAGCCTAGACTCGAGGGCAGAGCGAAGCACATCCAGCTGCGGTACTTCCTCCTGAGCGAGCTATAGCAGCGTCGCCAGGCCCGCGTAGTACACTTGGCCTCCGGTGCCAACACAGCTGATATCTTTACGAAGGCGCTTGCTCCTAAAGATCATCAGCGGCACTGTGTACAGCTAGGTCTCGTTCGTGTAGCCTCTTATTTGCTAGGACCTTGATTGTGTACAGACCTTTATATATATTACCCTGACTGGCCTTGTGGCCTCTTCCCAGTGGCTGGACTAGTAGTGCCGCCCTGGTCGTGCTCTTGCCTTGTTTGTACTCGTTTGACTGGAATTATAGACCCTTGCCTCAGTGGTTGGACTAGTAGTGCCACCTTGAGCTGCCTGTCTCTCACCTCACCAGGCACTGACCCTATCTAGTCTAGGGGGTGTGTCAAACATATCCTCGTATGTTGTTATAGACTACACTGGGTTGTGCCTTAGAGAGTACAACCCACTAGGTTATATTTCCTTGTATGCGATGGTTCCAATTCATTCGTTAACTTTGATAGGATGGACTACCATGAGGGCGTGTTCCCAAGAGAACGTCCTGCATACAGTACCAAGAGTGTGACTAGTATGACTCCGGTTGAACTGCTGGTTTGCTGGTGGGATTCGATTGTGTGCGGTAGTTTAGACACGTGGAACAACTGCACTCATAGACTCCTGCTGCTTTTGATTATACAGTCTATCCCAACTCCTAGGTTATAAAGGCTTGCCATTCTTAAGTGAAAGGCAAGCACAGTCGTTGTAGGCACAAAATGAGCTGTCTAGTCTACCCACCTACCTGCATGCATCCTCACAGAACGCATGGTAACCACCAACGTGGCACCAGTACCATTGTGGAACCGTGCCTGCTTTCACCACAGGAAAAAAAATAACCAACCACCGAATTCGAGCTCAATTCATTGTGAAATGGTACACAGACGGTGGGGGCGCTGATGTTATGTGTGGGGGGGCAGTGGCACGGTGGTGGTGGTAGGTGGCCGAGTCAACCATCCCGGGACCCAGCCCAAGAAAAGGGATGGGAGAGGGACCACCCACCGACAGGGGGACCGGGAAAGGTGTGGCTACAATCATGGGTGAGGGCGTGAGATGTGGAGGGTGGCTTGATGCAGCAACTGTGCTGCAATGCTGCTGGTACTGAGGTGGGTCAGTGGGGAGAACCTGAGCTGATTGTTGTTGCTGTTGCTGCTGCTGTTGCTGTTGCTGTTGCTGTTGTTGTTGTTGTTGCTGTTGCTGCTGTTGCTGTTGCTGCTGCTGTTGCTGTTGCTGTTGCTGTTGTTGTTGTTGTTGCTGTTGCTGCTGTTGCTGTTGCTGCTGCTGTTGCTGCTGCTGTTGCTGTTGCTGCTGCTGTTGCTTCTGTTGCTGTTGCTGCTGCTGCTGCTGATGTTGATGCTGATTATGTTGCAGCTGCTGCTGCTGCAGTTGCGGTTGTTGTGGTGGCCAAAATGGCTGGGGTTGCTGTTGCGGTGCTAGCTCGTGTAGAAACCGAGAGGTTTGCTGAAAAAATGATACCTGCTGTGGCGTCTGCTGCTGCTGCTGCTGCTGCTGCTGCAATTGCTGTTGCTTTTCAGCAGCACTAGTTGTTGCTTCCATGCCGACGCTATAAGGCTGAATGTTCCCCACACAGAACATCCCAGGCACAGGAACAGGCCGGTATGCTGTCACAGCCACAGGCGCACCACCCATAGCAGCAGCACCCGCAGTGCCATTCACAAATCCACTGCTGCTTCCTCCGCCCAACACCTGGCTCACTCCCTGCTGCTGCTGCTGTTGGGGGTTAAGTTGCCCCCCTGGACTGCCCCCCCAGGGAAGAAACCCCTCTCTACTGCCCGAGAGCCTTGGCCCCAAACCAGGGCTACCCAGTAGCCCACTACCCGCATAGGAACGAGGGGCCAACACACTAAAAGCCCCCTGCTGTGTGCCCGCTCTTAGCGCCCCTCCCCCCTCCGCTGCTGCTGCTGCTGCTGTGCCTGGTGCGGCAAGTGGAGGAGGAGGAGGAGGATCAGAAGAGCCTGAGGTGGACACACCTGCTGACAATGACACTGCCGTTCCAACTGCTGCTGCTACTCCTCCTCCTGTTCCTGCTTCCGGCCCTCTCGTCCCTGCTGCTGAATGGCTTAAGGATCCCAGAGGCGGAGCAGGCTCTGTCGCAGCCGCAGCTCCTGCCCCTGCTCCTGATGCTGCCCTTGCTCCCAGCCCCCCTGCTGCTGCTGAACTGGCAGCATACGGGGGGGCAAAAGAGGATGGCGGGAGGGCTTGGGGGGTCGGGGGAGTTGGGAAGTAGGGAGAGGGAGGGAGCCAGGGGGATGCAAGAGGGGCGGGGGTGGAGAGAGACGGAGAAGCAACGGCTGAGGCGGATGACACAGGAAGAGAGGTGGATGAGGCAGCAGGGACAGAGAAAGAATGAGAGTGAGGGGGGGTGAGTTGGGATTGCGGTGTGGTAGTAGTAGATAGCCCCATGTGTAGGAAACCCCCACTAGCAGCACTACCAGCAGCATCCCCGGCAGCAGCAACAGCAACAGCAGCAGTAGACCCATGAGTTCCCTGCAGCGCATTGCTGGCTACTGGGCGGATGGCAGATGATGTGAGCCATGCAGGAGAGCCGCTCGCTGCTGCTGCCGCTGCCGCCGCAGCTGCTGCGGCTGCTGTGTGAATATGCACGAACTGCGGGGGGATATCCATGCGGCCTGAGGCTGTGACAGGCACAGGCACTGCCACTGGCGCTGGGATTGGGACTTGTCCTGGCATAGCAGCAGGAGGGGCAGAAGCAGGGGCAGAACCTGCAGCAGCAGCAGCAGCAGCCGCCGCTGCCAAAGCCCAGTGAGAGGATAGGAAGGCAGGGTGGGTGGAGGGAGGGGCAAGAGAAGGAAGCGAGGGTGTGGAGGAGAGAGAGGAAGACGCAGTGGGCGTGGTGGAGGGGGTGAGAGGAGGTGGGGGCAGGGAGGAGGGGGCGGAAAGGGTGTGCGGAGGGGTGGGGGCAAGGGTAGGTGTGCCCCCAAACAGAGGTGCTGAAGCATCAGGGGGATGAGGGAAAGGAGAGGGGATTGGAATGGCCGCAAGATGGAAGGGATACGCAGGAGGACTGGCAGCAGCAGCACCACCACCACCAGCACCACCAGCACCCAAAGCTGCAGCAGTAGTAGCAGGTCCTGAGGTGGTAGATGCAGCAGCAGCTGCTGCTGCAGCTGCAGCTGCGGCAACAGCAGCAGCAGCAGCGACACTGGTCGACGTGGCAGAGGGAACAGAGTAGGTGGCAGAGTAGGTGTTGGAGAAGGTGCTGGCGGGAGACGCGCTGGCAGGCGGGTAGAAGGGATACGGGGCCATGAAGACAGCTGGGACTGAAGACGCCAGGGCAGGGGCAGGGGCAGGCGGGGTTGCAGAGGCAGAGGCAGAAGCAGGAGCAGCGGCAGAGGCAGGGGCAGGGGCAGGGGGTGTGGGGTGTGAAGAGGCGGGCGGATTGAGGGATGTGAGAGGCGATGGGAATGGGATGTTTCCAGTCAGAGGATGAGACGGCGGCTGCTGCTGCTGGTGGTGGTGGTGCTGCTGCTGCTGCAACTGTTGCTGCTGCTGCTGCTGAAACTGTTGCTGCTGCTGCTGCTGAAACTGTTGCTGCTGTTGCAACTGCTGCTGCTGCTGATTCTCCTGAGGCGGATATTGTACCTGCTGTTGTTGCTGCAGCTGTTGCTGTGCTTGCTGCTGTGGCGGCACAAAAAACCCTATCTGCTGCTGCTGTTGCGGCTGGAAAAACAAAGACTGGAACCCAATTGCCTGTGCTGGTTGCTGCAGATGCGGCTGCTGAATGCTCTGTGATTGAAACTGTTGCGACGGCTGCAGATGCTGCTGTTGCTGTTGCTGCTGCTGCTGCTGCTGCTGCTGCTGCTGCACCAACTGTTGTTGCTGTGGATTTTGCCAGGATGGTTGTTGCTGCTGCTGCTGCTGCTGCTGCTGCTGCTGCTGCTGCAGCTGTTGCTGGTGTTGTTGCTGCTGTTGCAGTTGCTGTTGCTGTTGCTGTTGCTGCTGCTGCTGTTGCTGGTGTTGTTGCTGCTGTTGCAGTTGCAGTTGCTGTTGCTGTTGCTGTTGCTGTTGCTGTTGCTGTTGCTGTTGCTGTTGCTGCTGCTGCTGTTGCTGGTGTTGTTGCTGCTGTTGCAGTTGCTGTTGCTGTTGCTGCTGTGGCTGCTGCTGCTGCTGCTGGTGTAACTCCTGCTGCTGAAACTGTTCTCGTGCCAACTGTAATTTGGTGTCGGAAGCAACAGCAGCATTGCTGCCACCAACGCCAGGACCAGCATAAGCAGCAGCACCACCAGCACCATAATCACCACCAGCCCCCCCACCCCCCCCAGCAGACCTTGGCATATGGCTGGTGGGGGAGAGGGTCTCAGGAGACGACGCAGGAGACAGGGGATCAGACCCCAGGTGCCCCTTTTGCCCACCCCCCTGCCCCTCCAGCAACGCCAAAGGAGCAGCAGCAGCAGCAGCAGCACCACCACCACCACCATCCATCCCGCCTAAACTCCCCACAAACCCACCCCCCCTTGGCTCTGCAAAGACTACAGCCATTGCAGCAGCAGCAGCGGAGGGTTGGGTGGGGGTGGAGGGAGAGCGGGGGAAGGCAGGAGGTTGGGGGGGCGCAGGCGCGTAGGAGAAGAGACCGTTGGGGGAGGAGGCAGAGGGGGGCAGCCCGGGCAGAGCCATCTGCAGGTTGGTCTGGAGCCTGCGGTGGGGAGAGAGAGGGGAGAATAGGAGCAGTATGGGGGACGGAGGGAGAGGTGTCAAGGGGGGAGGGCGGGAGAACCGGGGGGTGGGAGGGGCGGGAGAGAGGGGGTTGGGGAGGTTCGGGGGTTAAGGTTTGGGGTTTTGGGGGTGTTGGATTGATTTGGACCAAGATGATGCCGGAGTTAGCCCTCTGAAGAGCTTCAGCACAATGCTGGCTAGCAACGAGCCTTGACGTGGTGAGCCTGTGGTATGCCTGCACTGTGTATGACATTACAGATCAGAGAGTTGATGCACGCACGCACGCACGCATGCCCACCCCCCCCCCCCCCCCCCCCCCCCACACACACACACACACACACACACAAAACAGAAAGCAATGCAGCGTTCGCTTGCCTGCACTGCCCACTGTGTGCGTGTGCTGCACTGCCCCCTGCCCCCTGCCACCCCCTGCCCACCGACCCTTACCCACCTGGCGGGGAAGTTGAGGAACGCCTTGGAGCCCCTCAGCCTGAACGCGGCCACGTCATAGGCCTCTGCTGCGGCCTCAGCGCTGTCGAAGGTGCCCAGCCATATGCGGCTGCGCTTGCCCGGCTCGCGAATCTCCGACACCCACTTGCCCCACTTGCGCAGCCGCACCCCCTTCAGCCGCTGCTGCTGCTGCTGCTGCAGCAGCAGCCTGTCGCTTGCTTCCATCCCAAGCGCTACTGCGCCCATGCTCTCACTCCCCATGCTTATAGGTCCTCCTCCTCCTACCACTGCTGCTGCAGGGGTAGCAGCCGGTGCTATGAGTGCTGGTGCCGATGGTGCGGCAGCAAGGGGAGCGGCAGCTTGTTGCACATGCACAACCGCTGCTGCTGCTGCTGCTGCTGCCGCCACTGGTGCTGGTGGTGGTGCTGCCACTGCTGCCACTGCTAATGTCCGTAGGGTGCTAGGGCTTGGCTCTGCTCTGAGCTGAAACGGGCCAGATTCGCTCATCACAACAGCAGGAGAAGGAGAAGTGGCGGCCGCAGCAGGAGAGGCAGAAGCTGGTTCTTGTGCTGATTCTGGTGCTCGGAATGGTGCTGCTGCTGCTGCTGCTGCTGCTGCTGCTGCTGTCACAAACGTTGTTGTTGATGCTGATGTAGACGCAGGAGCGGCAGGTATGAAAGGGAACGGCCGCATGGGCATGGGCATGGGCCCAGGAACAGGTGCGGTGACGCCCGTGCTCATAGCCAAGGGCATGGGAGTGGGCGTCGGCGTCGGTGTGGGTGTGGACGTGGGCATGGGCATGGGCATCGGTATGGGTGTGAGTATGGGGGTGGGTATGGGAGCGGGTGTGGGTGTGGGCATGGGTGTTGGCAAGGGTATGGCTGTGGGCAGGGGAGTGGGTGTGTTCACTTGCACTGGTGATGCGTACTGCGATGATGCAGGTGCAGTTATTCTACCACCACCACCACGATGCACACCAGAAGCACCCATGCTGCTGCCTACAGGGGGATACAGGGCATGCTGGGTTGTACCTGGTGCGCTTTGGCGCGATCTTGCAGGCGCCTCAGCCGTCTCAGTGCTTGATGCGCCTTGATGCGAGAGAGACAAGCTTAGCCCTGCAGCTTCTGCCACAACTGCTGGCACTGCTGCTGCTGCTGCTGCTGGCACTGCTGCTGCAACCCCGCGTACTGCTTCTGTTTGGGGAGCTTGTTCAGTGTCATGCGGTAATGTGCAGCCGTGCGCCTTTACTATGACCTCACGTGCCCTCCCCTCCACCCCTTGTTGCCCGTCGACCCCATCCTCCTCCCTCCGCACAACAAACTCTCCGCTCTCCCTTGCTCTACCAAACGCGTGTGCATGCACTCTCACCCCAACCACCTGCACTTCCCTCTCCACCGTGCCACACTCCTCCGCAGCACCTTCTACCACTGCTGCTCCCTCTGCTGCTCCCTCTGCTGCTCCCTCTGCTGCTCCCTCTGCCAGCCTCCCTGCAAGTGCCCTTGCTTCTGTCACCCCCCCCGCGCCTGCACCACCCTCCTCCCCTACGCCTCGTGATAACTCCGACGCAGTTCGCATGCCATCCTGACACTGACTCGCATGCGCAGCGACAGTCGTACACTCTAGTGTCTGCGGAGCAGCGGCAGCAGAAGCAGCAGCAGCAGCAGCAGAAGCAGCAGCAGCGCTTTCTGCAACTCCTCCCTCTCGTTCCTCTCTCACTTCCCTGGCCTCCCTGGCCTCCCTGTCCTCCCTGGCCTCCCTGGCCTCCCTGGCCTCCCTGTCCTCCCTGGCCTCCCTGGCCTCCCTGTCCTCCCTGTCCTCCCTGGCCTCCCTGGCCTCCCTGTCCTCCCTGTCCTCCCTGTCCTCCCTGTCCTCCCTGTCATCCCCTTCCCCGCCTTCCTCCCGTCCCTCTCCTTCCTCTCTTCCTCCCAACCCTCCCTCCCTTTCTTCTCGCTCCTCCCACTCCTCTCCTCCCTCGCGCCCCTCTCCTCCCCCACATAGCACACCCCTAACGCCATCCACCTCCATCCCATCCTGCCCAACCTTCCCAACCCCCCCCTCCCTCCCCGCTCCCTGCCCCCCCTCCCCCTCCCCGCTCTCCTCCGCTCCCCTCCCCTCAACTCCCTCTCTTGAACCACAATTACGCTGCGCCTTCCCCTCTCTCCCCGCCGCGCCTGCCTCACCCACCGGCCCCGCCTGCCCCTCCTGCTCTCCCCCACCTCCACTCCCCGTCCCCCCACCCACAGCCCCCATGCATCTCAGTCGTTTACCCTCTCGCACATGAGTATCTGACCCATGATGCGCCTCTGCCTCTGCCTCTGCCTCTGCCTCTGCCTCTGCCTCTGCCTCTGTCTCTTCCCACGGGGTGTCTGTGGCATCCCTGGCTCTCTTGCCCGCTGCTGCACCCCCTTCACTCTCGCGCTCCGCCTGTATCGCACAAGCCACTGCTACCACCGCTGCCACTGCAGCAGCCGCTCCTGCGCCAGTGGGTACCGCTGCTGCTGCTGCTGCTGCTTCACCTGCCTGTAGCGTGCCACCAGCAGCAGCAGAGGAAAGTTCACTGTCAGCGGAACCCGTACCAGCAGCAGCAGCCAACACCAGCGCATCTCGGCCCTCGACCTGAGCCTTCCCAGCGGCCTCGACACATCTTTCCCTGCTTCCAAATTGCTCTGCTGGTTCCCCCGCCACAGCACCATCCGCCTTCCCCACCTGCTCCTGCCCTGCCTCCTGGCTCTGCTCCAACTCCCTCTCCCTTTCCTCCTCTTTATCCCCTTGCCTCTCCGCCCCTCGCCCCTCTCCTTGCCGCTCCTCCTCCCCAACCCGCGCCCCCGCCCTCCCCCCACCGTCTCTCGAAACTTCTTTCCCCGCGGGCGCACACCCCAGCTCCCCGCCTTCCGCCGCCGCACCTCTGTCTTCCGCCACAACCCCTTCCGCCCGCCCGTCTCCACCACAGGCCACCACATGCGCCTCTCTTTCCCCCTCCCCCCTCAACACCACCCTCCCCTCCCCCTTCTCCTCCTCTTCCCTCACCTGCCCGCCACTATTATGATCATCCTCGCTCTTCCTATCCTCACACCCCCCCTCCTCGTCCCCCTCCGCCTTCCCCCCTTCCCCCCTCCCCACACACAGCGCTACTCCGACGACCTCAAACCCCCCGCGCTCCGCCGCGCCTCGCTCTTCCCCCATCCTGTCTTTAAACCCGCTGCTCTCTGCAAAAACGTCACCACCCCCCGCCCGCGCCCCGCCGCCGCTCCGCGCAACCGCCACTCCCCCGCCCTCGTCCACAGCCTCCCGCGCGTTTCCCCCCATCGTCCGCGCGCAGGGGGTGCCGCCGTCGGGTCGGGCTATTTCGAGGAGGGGCAAAGCGCGCCTCAAGAGGCGGCGTCTCAAAGTCCGCGCGCAGGGAATGCCGCAGTGGCGCGCCCGCTACTCCGCCCAACGTCGCTGCCGTCGTCGCCGTCGCAGCCGTCGCCGTCGCTCTCGCCGTTGCTGTCGCAGCCGTCGCCGCCGTGGGAGCACACTACCCCGAGTACCTCTCTACGCCCAGGCTAGCCGCGTCGCAGCCAGGCTGCCGCCGAGCCTTACGGTCGGCGGCGACAAAAGCGGGCGGCGGCGGGGGGGGCGGCGGCGGCGGCGCTTCTTATCTTGCGGCACGAGGTGAGGACGCTAAAGACGACGACGACGAGCGCGTTATCGCCCTCGAAACGGGGCGATGGTGACAGAGATGCGGATCGCGACGGGACGGGGACGGGGCGGGGATGGGGCGGGGATAAGAACGGCGATGGGGATGGCGGCAAGCGCGACGATCGAGGAGCTACTACTGCGGGCCGCACGTAGCGCTCAGGCTGCCCGCCGAAACCGGCACCACTACAACAACCGATGCGCCGGAGAACGGCAGCGCGCCAAGCCTTGCGAAGGCGGTGCTGCGAGGAACGGGTAGCGCGTAACGGGTAGCCGGTAGCGGATAAAGGCGGTTGCGAGTCCGGCGTCGGGGGCGCCGACGACAGAGGTGACCGGTGGGGGCGGTTGACCAGTTGTGACGGCGGAAAGATGGGGGCCTGGGGGGCGGTGCGGGTGGGGGGGAAGAGGCGGGGGAGGGGGGAGTGGGAGGAGGAGGAGGGGTTGGGGGAGGGGGACAAAAGTGGGGTATGGGGATATGACTGCCGCGGAAGGGAGAAGAAGGCAAGGCAATACTTCACGGGGATACGAGGGAGAGCTGCCGCGGCGGACCCCTGAGAGGACTTTTAACAAGGCCTATTAGGACGGGGAAAGGGCCAGGGGAGGCCGTTGGCAGTGGCAGAAAACGACAAGGCCCGCGTGCGCGGCTCACGAAACTCGCCGCGCTCGACGCGCGTCTCTTCGTTCGTTCCAAAAGCCGACGCGCTGCGGCAGCGAGGGAGAAAAGGAAAGAAACCCCTGCTACTGTGGCGGCACACTGGCTCCCCTAGCCCTCTTAGCGCTCCTAACGGCCCTATATCGGCAGCTCCAACGGGAAGAAAGAAAGAACCCACACCTCGGCGCGTGCATCGTTTCTCACCCGCGCGACGGAGACGGGAGCCGACGTGGCTGGGTAAACCAGCGGGCGCGCAGCAGCAGGCTCGCAGCAGCGGCGGGGCCAGAGCTTCTGTTCTGACGCGACCTAGTAAGGACCACTGGCACGCGTGAATGGCGCGATGAGGCGGTGGTAATTCGACTACTAGCGAACGAAACTGCGGAGACAGCGGCCCATCGTATAAAAAATAATAATCAGAGGACCTGAGCGCGGGAATCGGATCGGTTGGATGCGGTGCGAATAGCCAAGGGATGGTTGATGCAAAGGGGGTGTATGCGCCAGTGTGGGATGGGGCGTTGTGTACGCGGGGGGACGGCAACGAATTTGCGCGAGGTGAGAACCTCTGAAGGTGGCTCTCTCGTTCCTCGTGAACCCAGCCCAAACCAACTCGCCCAATACGGCATAGCCGAACGGCACTTCCGCGGGAAAAGGGTGCAGTTGCTCCCTACCTTGCTTGTCCCCTTCCACCCATGCTTCAGCCAGCTTCTGGTTCCCCCTGTTGCCTCGAGAGAGCCTGATGCGCGCCTGCCAACCGACCAAAACCGAGCGCCGCTTCCTCTAGCCCTCGCCCCCGCCCTTGCTGCAGAGCATCTTCCGCCTCCTCCTCACCTTTTGCGCTTCGCCCCCTGGTCAGTGGTATCCGCGGGTGCAACGTCAAGCTCGGGGAAGCGGAGGCGGCTGGGCGGGTGCGATCCCCAGGCGGGGCGTTTGAGGGATGCGGAGTGGATGTGCGTTTTCGTTTTCAGTACAACTGCCGAAAACGACCGCGAAGCCTGATTTGGTGGCCAAATCTGGGTAATATGAACATGCCGAATTAGCACCACCATTGACCGATGTGGTGAAGTTGAGGGTTTTCTGTGCCTATTTGATAGGTTTTTAGGGTGCGTTCCCCCCTAGTGTCAGGTTTTAACACCGAAGCTATCGACGGTATGAATGCTGACACGTCAGGAATACTGATGAGGTGTAACGCTTAAAGCCGTCAGTGCGTTGGGTCAAAATTCTTGACCCTAGAGGAGAACCACCCTTACCACAAGAAAGTATGGCATGGCAGTAGGCATTAGGCCTGGCACTTAACCCAACGGAGGTTTATTTAAAAATGGGAGACACCCTTTCCGAAATAATAAAGGAGAAGTTCAGATTTGCCCGTGAAGGTTGCGGAAATGCACGAGCTCATCTGTGTCCAACGTCGGTTAGGCGCTGGGGGACCGAGCATCGTCCGACCGCCTATCCGACGGCTCAGATCAACAGATCACAACGATCGATGTCCACTGAATGTTGAGGGATTTCGTTTCAGCAATCTCTTGCTGCTTTCTAGCATCCACTGCGCTTTTCCCCGGCCCAGTTGGGCGTTTCGGCCGCCAGACTGTCGGAAACCTTCTGGGGTGGGGGGGAGGGCGGGACAGCGCCAGTATCCTTCCCCCAACCTCGCGTTTGTGTTAGGGGGAGCTTCAGCGGAGTGCGCCAGCAACCCGCACGGAACTGCTCAGCCAATCCCGTCTTCATGTGCAGGCAGGGTGGCGAAACTCGTGACCATCATTGGATGACGCGTCCAGAATGGGTGGCTGCATGTCGGTGCGTGAGAAGTGCGCCTTTTCGACCGACTTCTGCAACACTGGCTGTGGTGAAGCGGATTGGGTGTATGGAATCGACACCGTTGCCCTGACGCCAAGTCTTGGATGCATCAGCCGAGATGACGACACTTGGCAAGTTGATTCTCCAAAGCAGCTGACATGGCTACCTGTATGCACAGACCCATAAGGGCGAGAACTGACAAATTGGGTGTCGGTCGGAAAGAAACGCTAAAGGGGAACCAGTTAGAGGCAGAAGTGTTTACTGTATATACCATGTTGGGTTCACTTCTGTTATGATAAATGTCCGGATAGGAGTACAGTACAGCAATGCAATAGTGGGGTCGTGATTAAAACCACAGGCTAAAATAGCACACCAGCGGAGCTCTTGAAAAAATGTTTCGTTTTGGGGCAGACCCTTTGGTGCGTTTTCTATTTCTGAAATGGTATGGGACCCGAAATTGTTTGTAATGCGAAGTACCTTTGCTACATTATTGGTGCGCGACGATTGATTTGGCGCCAGTTGCTCGGTGGATCAAGTTGCGACTGACCGCTCACACGGCTCAGTTTTTTCAAGAGCTCCATGGGTGTGCAATAGGTTTTTAACCCGAGGTTTATCTGGGTCGCATTTCGCACAACCCATGTGGCTGTTCGGCACACAAGTTGCACAGTTCACCTCCACCCTAGTCGCGAGACGCGGTCGAGGGAGCTTCGTAATGTGAAGCCTTAACACGTACGCCGAATACTTGCGAAAAAATCAAATGAGTCGCGCGCGCGTTTCCCGCCTCGTCGCACACGCGTCAAATCGGCGCCACTACGTTTCTATCATTGTTCAGCTGCCCAAAAACGCACCTCGCAAAATAGTGCTGGGAACCCGTTTTGTTTCAAAAGAGCCATCTTCAAGAACGGCGCTCTTGAAGCCCCCCCTTTGCTATTTTAGCCTGTGGTTTTAAAGTGTCGAGTACAAATAAAGCACAGGGCTAAATACAAGCACAGCTAGCCTAGCAAGAGAGCCTCAAGGGAGGCCACGAAACACACGCGAGGTCGTTCGGAGCGCCTTGGGACTCGGAACAGGGCCCCAGATATCAGACAAAATCGGTCTGATGGTCTGAAAAACAGACTCGTTTTTTAAGGTTGATGTGATTTGTTCGACCACCCATTTTATTTCGTTTGAACGTTAAGACGGCTGCTTAAATTTTGTCTTAAAAAACAGACAATGTGTTATATTTCGTCCCACAAATCAGACAACGCGTGCATTTTCGTCTGACACAGACAACTGTGGTAGCAGGGCCTCAGATATCAGGATGTTTTATCCTTACTTCCTGATTTTCAGGATGCCTGTTAGGTGCCAAACCTGAAAAATCCGTTTAATGTCATTTTTCACACTGTGAATTCAGTTTTAAATCGTAGTGCAACCCTGAGGATTCAGTAAAGTGTTCGTGTACCAGCCCTGAGCTGTCAGTATGCCTTCGGGGACAACCCTGATCCCTCGAATCTTGAATGCACGTGCACCACTAGGGTAGCCCTTGCCTTGAATTTTACATTTCGGCTAAGTCCTCGAAGGTAGCAACAACCCTCCGAAAACCCCCGAAAATTGGCGAAGTCCTGAAAGTTAGAGACAATCCTCATAAACCCCCCCCGCTGCTCTAAACTTTCGGCAAAGTCCTGAATGCTAGAGACAATCCTCCAAAAAGTCCCCGCTAATCTGAAATTTTCGCTAAGTCCTCAATGCTAGAGACAATCCTCCCCCCGCCCCACCCCCTACTCACCAAAACTTTTCGGCTAAGTTCTCCCTGCCAGAGACATACTTCTACAACTTCTATGCAGCCCTGAAATTCTGGCTTAGTCCTCATAGAATTCGTTATGCCCAGGTTACGTCGAATCAAAATCTCGTCAAGTACTGCAACTTAGGGATTATTCCTCACGTTTGGCAGAATACTTCGTGGCTAACTTTTATAAGTTTTTCCACGGTCAAGATTATCAGAAACAAATTCAGATGATCCTGCACATTGAATTGGGAAACAGAATAACTTGCCATAGAGTGTGCCACAGGCGAGGAATGCGCCCTCACCATCCAGCCTCGTCAAACGCCGTCATAACCGCTCGATGGAACTCGAACTGCAGTTTTTTTCACGCAACTTTTCATTTCTTGCCTTTGACCTCATCAGAGTTTTCAGGGGCTGCATTCGCTTTAAACTGAACGCCCATGCGGTCTCAGCAAAATTCCGTCTAACAGTCAGACGAAGAAAATTTTCCTGGTCTGATTACCTCGTGTGCTACAGTTGATGCAAACTCCGCCACTCGCGCCTCAACCCATCACAACGCGTGAAGCCAAGTGTGCTGCTGCTGCTGTTTCGAGTGACTTCTGAGATGTCAAGCGTTTCAGAATTTACCCTAAGGCCAAAGTATAGAGCTAGAGAACCACCATGAGGAATCAATATGAATATAAGCCACCAACCCTGACTGCTACATGTTTTTTTGGGGGCCCGCCCTGATTGGTCAGTATGCCTAAAATCCTATATGAGGCCCTGTGTGGTAGACCTGCGAAAACTCTGGTACAGACATATTGTACTTGTTTGCCCACAACCCTGGAATTTCGGCCAAGTCACCAAACGCCAGAGAGTCTTCCCCAACAACACACCCTGCAACCTACGAAAATCGGCTAAGTCCTTCTGTTAGAAACATAAAAGTTGGTTTATTGATCAAGTAAAGGGATTACATAGGAAGGGAGATGAGCTCGAAAGGGAAGGTTGGAAGGGAAGTGGGGGTGAGGACCAATCACAAGGAAAGGGGGATCCTTCCAAATGTGGTTGACTCCAAGTGAGAGGTGGTCCAAGTATGGTGGACCACAAGTGGCTTGAGCAACCCACTTGTGGTGCCCCGACAAGTCTGGTCCTTGTGTTTGGGGGCTCCAACCACAATTGGGCTGGATTGACACCCCAACACATGTGTACACCCAACTTGGGGTGTATACACAATATTCACAAATAACATAGCATGGTATATTCTAACACAACCCCATAACATGCAAAGCTAATGTGTATGAATGGCACAACCCCAGAATCAGGAAGGAGGGCGGGGGCCATGGCCGAGAAGGCGGAGGAGGGCAGAGTGCACGGCCTTCGGGAGGGCCTTGGTAAACTTGTCAGCCAAGTTGGCCTCTGCAGCAATCTTGCGGACCACCAAGTGACCCAGCTGGACCAACTCCCGAACGAAGAAATAGCGGAGTTCAATGTGCTTGGAGTGGCAATGGAAGACAGGGTCCTTTGTGAGGTAGATGGTGCTGGCATTGTCGCACCAGAGGGTGGGACAGCGTTGAGGAGCACCGATCTCAGTAAGGAGGAAGGTGAGCCAGCGAGCCTCCTGAGCGGCCATGGTGCAAGCGTAGAGCTCAGCCTCGTAGGAAGAGAAAGCGATGGAGGAGCGAGTGGAGCACCAGCTAATGAGGCCACTGCGAAGGGTGGAGCTGTAGCCTTGAGAGGAACGTCGATCCGGCTGGGATTCGGCCCAAGAGGAGTCACTGAAGCCGGAGAGAATGGGAGGAGTAGAGCCTCCGAGGGTGAGGACATAGTTCTTGGT